GCAGTATGCGTTTTTGCACTCTAGCGTTGCACAGTAACAAAGCATAAAAATCACTGGCGACTCGCACCAAGCAGGCTAGTGTGATCATGCGTTTTCGCAGTATTTCGTGCTACAGTAAGGTTACGTGGAATTGCAACAGGTAGAATTTGTGACATCTTGGTCCTCAAACCTTAAAAAATTTAGCTGCCACGTGTTGCTTGGGAAGAGAATATTCTGTTAAAATTTCAGCTTCCCAGTTTTCCTGATTCTCGTACTTAGCGGTTTTCCCGCCAAAAACTTCCACCAGGACGTAAATGAGAACCATGCATGCCTGAAGGCTGAATTTGAAATTTTGGAGTTCAACGTGGGGAGGGAACATCCCTTTAAAATTTCAGCTTCCCAGCTTTTTTTGTTCCCGAATTAGCAACTTTCCTGCCAAAAATTTTCATTGGGCGCTACTTGAGTACGACCCGTAACTGGGGCCAAATTTGAAATCTTTAAGTTTTAAATGGGCTTGGAACATCCCCTAAAAATTTCTGCCCCCAGTTTTCCTGGTTACCAAGTTAACGGCTTTCCCGCCAAAACTTTCACGTGGTTGAATGCGGGGCCCAGACATGCATGAGAACTGGTACCGTAGTCCTGGGGCGGCACTGGGCCGGAGGCCCACTAGCAAAATTTTGGCACCAAAGCTTGCTTGGTTGCCGAGTTGAAATACCCGAACAGTCGCACACGCACACACATACACACACACATACACACATACATGTACAGATACATATCGGGGTCGTCACAAAATGCATTTTTGCATTTGATATATACAAGAGCCTACAGTTAGAAAGAAATGTTTTGGTCCACAAAATGGTATACATTTCTTGCCACTGCCACAGCTGGATCTCTTCTGTGAGGCGGTGTGACAAGACATAAATTGGTTGTGAAAATAAAAATAAGTATTATTTGTGAAAGTTAAGTTTTTAGTAGAAAGTATTTGGAAATGAAGGGAAGATTGACAGTAAGCGCTAGAAATTAATAATAAGTGAGAGTTGAAACAACTTATGGATGTGACCATTGGCAAAAGCGCTTAAAGAGTACAAAAAGGGTGATAAATTTTCACAGGATTTCCTGTCATTCTTTATTATTTAGTCGAATATTGCTATATGTATATGAAAGAGCTAATCTGCAGTACAATTCCTTGATTTAATTGCGACCTGCACAAATCAAGCAAGTGATCGGTTATCATGTTTATGCCACTGTCCACCAGACTTGAAGCGGCATTCTGCAAGACGGTCGCCTGTGTTGTGCATAGCGCCACAACCTCATCACCATACCGAGACCAGCATGGTACCACAAATGACATGAAATCACCTGCAACGGAGCACCATCAAAATACGTGAGGTGTGCGTGTCTTGAGTTAATCACTCTCTGCCCCTGCGAAGACCGTTCTAGTAATAGTGATAGAAAAGTAATCAAACCACACAAACCAGTATTATAATGATAAGCATCGCAAATGCTTGCCCACGAGGTTTGCCCTTTGAGCAATATGCGTGCGGCCACCCGATCACCACAGCGATTCACACAGTTCGTAAATTCGAAATTTAGCCTGAACGGATTTTCTCTGTACAAAATTCCGAAGTGAATGGTACAGTCATTGGCTCATCACCACTCCATCGACTTATTTCTTCCCCAGCCATACCTTTTTTTTGGATAGGAAAATTTGCCTTCTTTGTTTAATTGAAAAATAAATTATATTTTGTAAAAGAACTCCTATTCGATAGGATACTTTGTTTGTTTTACGATTGGCAACATGTAAAACGATATAGATGTAGGATGACTCATTAGCATGGCTAAGATTTTATCAGTGACTTCTGTCACGAGAACTGCTGAGGTGGTAATCACTTCAAAATGTATAGCAAACATCAGAATTACCAGCAAGCTGACCACCAGGCAATGCAAACTGTTATACTAACTGGGAGAGTTTTCAGCTACTATGAAATGCAACTAATCAAAATAAGTATGGTCTGAAAAAAACAAGGCATAAAATTCTTTTTTTTATTTCATTTTCCTGTACTGAATTGGTAATTTTAACACACTGTTGCTGTTATTAGATCACCGCCCAAAATCAACAAAATTCATAACAGGAAATGCCACGAACTCACTTGCAGACATCACGAATTCGCTGCGCAAAACTGCTAATTCGATTCGAAGAATATTTGGGAAGGCCACGCAGTATGTTATTTAGCGGCGCCACCAAATCCGACGTCCACTGCTCTGCTGTGCCCATAACACCAGCCATTCCATTCATCTGAATCGTTATTGAAAGAGTTTCACCTCATTTGTACAAATCTCTGGATGAACCTATTGATCAATAAATCCAGAACAGATCGACGCGTTGACAATTTATAATACTTGTCTTAGCGCTATAAAAAATAGCACCTCTCATATTGGTACCATTCACTAAATTGGCTAGAATCTAAGTGAGAAGACAACGCCTATTATTTCAC